ATTTTAATATATATAATTAAAAATTTAATTATTAAATTTTTAAAATCTTCTCCTCCTTTGAAGCATTACATCGAAGTTGGAAAGTTCCATATTCAATTATTGATATTCCGATGTTTATATCCCTATTCTTTAAAGATTAAAAATATTGTGTCACGATAGTTAGATATTTTTTGATACATTGAATTAATATTTGGATAAATTAAAAAAAAAAAAATCAAAACGATTAGATGTATTTTTTTCGATAGATACACATATAATTCATATCCTCACCCCCTCTCTTTTATTAATGGAGGGCGATGGTCCTGGCCCCAGGTATGGTTACAGGTAGAAAAATTATTACATCTTTTTTTTAAGAAGATGCTTGTGTGAAGTACCAGCCTAAAAGTATGAAAATAGTTATTTTGCATACTCGGAACAAATGAAACTGCGATGCATAAAAGAAACGAAATGGCTGACAGAGCAGCAAGAGAAGCTCTTACTCTTCCAGCCCGGAGTAAAGTTTTTTTGACACCATCTGAACTTGCACGACCTCTAAGAGAAACCATATCTCAAGAATGGCAAAGACGGTGGGACAACATTGCACCTAGCAAATTGAAGACAATAAAGAAAGAGGTGCAACCGTGGACCAGCTCCATACCCAGCAGTCGTAGAGAAGAGGTCGTCCTCGCGCGGCTGAGGATCGGACATACTAGACTGACACATCTCCACCTCATAACAAAAGATCTTATCCCCAGATATCAAAAGTGTGACCAGTCATTAACCATACAACATATTTTGGAAGAATGCCCTTTTTATACCTCAAGATTAATAGATCTCGGAATACCCCAGAATCTCTGGGAAATCAAGAAGAAATTGTTACCAAAGTTATCAAGTTTCTAAATAATGAAAGACACTTAAACAACATATATGACAAGTTTATAAATTATGACCCTTTACAGATTTAATATTATTTTTTATTTTTTCATCTTTTATTTTTTATTTTTTAAAATTTATTTGTTTTATTTTATTTTAAAAATTCATTTGGTTATTAATCTCAACTCATTTATTGATTTTATTTATATTTTTTTTAAGTTTATTTATTTATCTATTCTATCTTATTGTCTGTGGGTGTCTATTGTTTTTTTTGTTTATTTGTTGGTTCTATCAATCCTTTTATTTAATTGTGATATTTGTTTTTTTATTTAGTTAGTTATTAGTTATAGTAAGTTATTTATTTATTCATTTATTTATTTAATTATGTTATTTTTATTTATTTATTTATTTATTGCTGTCAATACTTTTATTTAATTATTTTTATCCTCTTTTTATTCTTGTTTTTTGGACCAACCTTCCAAATAGTATAAAAGTAGTGTTATTTAGTTGATCAGTCGCTGATGACCTGGATGTTTTGCGCCTAGACATCGAAATAAACAAGCAACAAAGGAAACTGCAAACTTTTCTTAATATCGATTTAGATTTACTCCAGTAATCTTCTTTCATTACTTTTACTTCTTGCAATTCATCCTAAGAAGATTGATCCTCAAAAATTTCGCGTCCTTTACTACTAACCACTGTATTCTACTTAAATCTCTACGAAAACGCTCAATATACGGCGAGAGAAATAAGAGCGTAATGAATATTATTTTTAAAATAATTTTTTTTGATATAGGTGCATTGCACAGTTTGTAAAGAAAGTGAGGTATCGAAAACATTAAGTAATGGTTAACTAAAAATGACGTGATGTGCAAAGAATATAGTAAAATTCTTCGTATTTCAAAAATCCTGTTTAGAGTACGCATATGTTTTACCCGCATGAGAGAAAAAATGCATTACATCTCATTATTCTACAGCGATCGTATTTCAAACGGGACATCACTATCTCTTTAACCTACTTAACTTTTCCGGAATATACTGACGGATCAGGGATAAAAAAAAAAAAAAGAAGGAATGAAAAAACCGAGAGGGCTAAATGGAAAAAGGCGACCCGGTGAGAAAGTCATACCAAAGAAGGAAAACGGTTAATATAATAAATTCATGTATTCGTTGTTGCTCGTGATCCGCATCCCTGGAACACACACCGCTGCCAGTTTAAAAACCTTAATGTAATCAGAAGCCCTCCCTTAAGAGCTGAAGGAGAAATCAGCTGCTTGTTAGTTGGATAACATGAAAGTCTGATTCTCTTTGTATACCGTTATTCCTTTCAATAATAGAAAATACTTATTTATTATATATCTTCAAATGTGCATGTATAAGTAAAAAAAATTGAGTATAGGCATTTCAAGCAACATCTCAACAGGATGAGCCCAAAGGGGAAATCGCTAAAATAAATTCGATGAATTGTAGTTATAACGAACTAACATGAGGTTTATTATTCAAATATAAGGCTTCAGATAGCGTAATCAATCTTTAAGAAATGTTTGCGTTGATGATCCGAACTTGTCTTTAAATAGCTAAAACTTGTATGTTCTAGATCTAATCTCAAATGTATTTCAAAATTGTCTCAAACACTTCATTTTTAAACGTATACATAATATAATCATTCTACATCAAAATCTAAAATTAATATTCTTTTTTGCCAGCTATATAGATTACTAAGCAAGACATCTCATCTTTCGATTGAAAATAAACTTTTAATCTACAAGATCATACGGAAACCTATCTGGACCTACGGACTTGAACTGTGGGGAACTGCTAAACATTCGAATATCAAACGTATCCAATCCTTCCGATCCAAAGTAATTAGAACAACAATCAATGCCCCATATTATGCCATAAATGAGACCTTACAACGTGACCTTAACACCCCATTTGTCCTCGGCATCATCCAGAACCTGAACCTTATCCATCATCCAAATCCTCTGGCTCAATCCCCATCCAGCTCCCTTCATCCCTACAATCCTCCTCGAAGGTTTAAACAGCAGTGGCCCAGAGATCTCTTGTAAATATGCTTCTGGAGTCCTGGCGATGACCAGCTTCTCCACTCAAGTCCTGAGCATCTGTGGCTCTAGTGCCCTCCTTCTACCAGTGACGAGGCTGGAAGAGAGACACTGGGATCTCCTGGAGTCCTACTTTGCCTTTCACTTTTGGAGGAGAAAGCTAGGCTCGGAGTTCCCTGGGCGAATGTAAATATGGTTTATAGGAATGAATGTGTTAAGATGATTTATTTTATTTTTACTTATTGATTTATTTTTTATTTCATTTATGTTTGTTATTCTATTTTTATATTTACTTATCGTAGTTTACTCATTTGTTTTTTATTTATTTATTTTTATTTTTTATTTTCCTATTATATGTATATATGGCATAAATGAACACATTTAACCCTGTTAGTTGATATAATTTAATCCAAAGTAATTAATGTGCCCTTTAATGTGGCAGATTGTACTAAAATAAAATATTAAAAAAAGTTTAATATTTTTTTGTTTTTATTATATGATTAATAATGGCAGTTATCAATAGATTCAACTACGAAATATCAATAATTTGGACTAGAAATGATTTTAAATCGAACTCAAAGAGTTCAAACATCCAATGAGAGATGCGAGGACTCGATCAACAAGTGAAACTTCTGAAGTGCCTATGCATACATGTGTAATAAACTAAATTTACTTAACCAATGAAGCAGTACGCAGCACAAGCATAAGAGGTGTCTAAAAATACTCACATTAACAGCTTTAATATCACCATTAAAAACTATTGAAGGAAGTTAGTCCACTGTACTATATATCATAGATGATGAGGACATTTTAAGATTTTTATTGTTGTAGACGACATTTCAACTCCAGCATGTGGGATGCTTGGGAAATCTTTAAATGATGCGTCGCGACTATTTATCACCTATAACATTAAAACTATATTTAAAATAATAAATATAATGAAAGTTGAGTCAAATTAATTCATCATTAGGCTGTATTTCCGGTACGGGTCTTGGCAGCATCTAGATTTTGGGTTTTATAATTCCATAAAAAAAAGTATATTTATGAAACTCACTGAAAAATGAGAATTCCAATTTAATCCAATTTAATTGCAGTCAATCTGATGTTTCTTCTTCTTCTCCTAAACATTTTCAGTTAAAGTATCGATTGAGCATCGAGTAAGTAAAGGAAGTGAGGTGACTGTTAAATTAAAAAGAAAGTAATTGTTATATAGAAGCGTCTTGGCAATCAAATAGGCTGATTGCTAGAAAAGTATTCCTTTTTGACGAAATGTTCTAGAGGACTATTTATACCTTTGTCTCCAAAATTGCAAGCAAATTTCTTGATATTATTTAATACTGTGAAACACCAGTGAAATTTTAAATTAATCTATTGTATGTTTTAATAATAATAATTAAGTAGGTTTTTACATTATTGAAAAATAAGGTAATTTTCCAGTAATTATTTGGAATTAAGGAGTAATAATTAACAATTTATTTATGTAGACTAAATTTCCTACTTGACTTATTACTTGACGTATAATTCGAGCGACTAAATATAAAAAAAAAATTCTTTCATTTTCTTGTTCTCAACGTTGTGGGCTGCAGGCACATATTTATGGATATTTTTTTCTGGGTATTGTTCTCCATTTTATATTTACAAAAAAAATAACTGTCGGTTTCATCAAAATTGAATTTGTCCATAGAAGAGAAATGATGGATAAAAAAAAATTATGTATATGTTTAATTAAATTAAAAATCAGCTGTCATTTATTCATATATATTTTTAGCTCGGCCTAGTGTCGACCCGAGGGAGAACTCATGTAGCACTGATTGTGAATTGAAACTGACGTTGCGGGTTTTCATTACCCTATGATGTTTTTATTAAGACGAATTAATCTTGTAATAAATGATTTTATGTTTTAACATATAGCGGAGAGAAAGGAAAAAAAAAACGTCAGTTTCAACTCAATGTCGTAAGAGTTCATTGTCGGACTTCCGTATTTTATAGTTCATTATCCATTCCGGAATAAATATATCCGTAAATATATCAAGCGAATGTAATAAGATAAGTTGACTTTTGCTATGACTACAAAAAAGAAGGGACTGACCTACAGAAGGGTGTGTGAGGGCGAGAGGATGCTCTTGAGGTTCTGGGCTGGACAACTTCCTTTTCCGAGGTCGGCCCCTCGGTCCCCAGGCAGGAGACAGCGGGGGTTCCTCAGGGTCGTAGTGTGGCCTGCAGAAGAGGGCTCCTCCCCGCATCCCAAAGGTGTCCCCCTTTGTGAGCAGGACTCCGCAAGTAGTGCAGGAGAAGCAGTGCAGGTGGAATACCTCGTCCCTCGCGCGCATCACCAGTTCTGATGATGAAATACCCATGCCACATCTGGAGCATCTTCGACAGCTGAACAGCCTATTAGAAAAATTATATATTATTGATACTTATCATATGCTCTTTGACATTATATATAGATTCAAGAGAGAAATACAAAGCTAAACTCAAGAGGCCGGTAGCATTAACAATCGTGATTAAAGTTAACATTTTCTGTTAACCAACTGGAGTTAACAAATAACCGTAGTTAAAGTTTAAACCCTGTTGCTCCAATACATTTTTAACCCTGATTAGTAAACTAGGACTAGCTTGTGACGTTTTTCTAGAAAAACTGAAAATGTCAATGAAATTGAGAACTGATTATTTTGTTAATTTATAATTCAGTTTTTGAAGATAAAAGTTTGTTAGGCGCGCTTTATACTTTTTTGTGGAGGGTGAATTAGATTGATCCGTCAGATTTCGTTGGGTATTAACGTTATGTTTTTACATATGGATTAAAATATCTCAGAAACTGTAAGCAAGAAAATTGTTCAGCGTTTCATTCTCTCTGTAATGGACTATAATTCAAAATTGTATCTTGTTAAGGCGGCGAAAAGGAAAAATAGTGTCGACAACCAAATGATAATGTTGCTAGTTGAACATATGGATTAAAATATTTCAGATACTAAAAATCGGACCTGTATACTATTATTTATAATTCATATTTTATATAATTTATCTCGCCTTATTTATGTTTTTACTTATATCGTGTGGACTAAAAACACACACCTTAGTTTTTTTTTTCTTTTCTTTAATTTTCTAAATTCAAATTCAGATTCATTGAAAACGTTAATAGGATAATTTCTTATTCCGCATTAGTTCTCCTTTAGTAACCAAATTGACGAGTTATATTAATTGATCATTTGATAAAAAAAAATAATTAAAAATTGATAAAAAATCATTAAAAATTTCTTGTGGATATAGCGATATACCTACTTCTAGTAACAGTAAAATTAAGTAAACTTTAAACAAAATGTTTCAGTGAAATTTAAATCGAACGATTTGTGTCAAGTTAGAAGTAACCATAGATAACACCTTGGCATTGATTAGATATTTAATCTTGGTCTCAAGACCTGTTAGCTAAACTAAACTACTTGACCGGGTGTTAAGGCTAATCAAGATTGGTGCAACGAAAATTTCGCTAATCAGTGATTAACTAATCAAAGTAAGTAAAATTAAAGTTGACAACAGCCGGTGAAATCGAACTTAAGTATATGATAAGGAACACAGAATTATAGTTTGACAGTAATTATTTGGTACCCCAAGGGTGAACTCATAAGATAAGTTAAAAATTTTTGATTATAATATTAAAAGATGTTTACATTAATAACGGTTCGATATATTAATTTGTGTGTAAAATGTGATTTTTAGTTTCTGATCAAAACTTTTTTAATCACAATTTAATCACTATTATTTATGTAAAACTGTATCACTCAGTGGTAAATATTTTTAATCGAATCATTAAACATCTAATATCGATTAAAATTTTTATTTATAAATAAGACATATTTTAAAATTAAAAATTAAATATAATAAAAATAACATGATTTTGTGAAAAAAATAAATATCAATTTCAAACCCTGCTTAATAGTGTTTGAAAGATCTAGGACTTTAAAACTTTCATATTTCTTTGATTTCTTCATTAACGAAACCAATCATAATATTCTTGTTACTAAATAAGCAAAATAAAATAAAGCTAAATAAAAAATAATTTGAATTATTTTTATCTATTTACTAACAATAATAACATAGTTCTGAAGATGGGACGTATTGCTACGAGAGTGAACTTTTAAATGCCTATGTCTTTTATAAACTTATAACTTCCCACAGGATATGGAAAACAGGTTAGTATAATTTTTTTGGCTTGTTTTCTTGACCGCATGCCTCGCCAACTTTCCCTTACATAAATCATTCTTATTTGCAATTATGGCGACACTATCCATGTATTAGGTGGTTACAAGAACTAAGGATGAATTATTGTTGATGGCTACTGGTGGCTGTATTTGTCCTAATCTGTTGACAAACGGCTGAGCAAACACGGGAGCATTAGCAGTTTGTGACTTGTACGAGCTGATCTCGTTTCGAAGCATTAACTATTCAGGACAGATGTTGACTGATTCTGCTATCGCTGTTGATCGTAATTTATTGGGCAAACTAAAAGAGTTTTAAGTCAGCTTGGTTCAGCTTGTCTTCCGATGGAGTTCTGTGTGTTGAGATATAAAGAGAAAATTATTGAACATACAAGTAACAAACTACCGTAAACTAGAAACAACAAGTGTTTTTTTTATATAAATATCGTGAACCGTAGTTCGTTAATTGGTGCTTGAAGGTGACTATGTACTTTAGTTTATTTTGAATTTGAAATTATCTGGCAGACTGTTACATAGTTATATCAATATTAATGGAAAGTTGTTTGAATATAATAATGTTTTAGCCCGCCAAGGAATTTCAGATTAAAATATAAACTCTAGTACATAACACCCCTAGTACCAAAGTAACTACTGTTTACGGTATATGTTTATGTTTATGTGTGTGTTTATTTTTGTATTAGCAGTATGCATGATGGTGGAAGTTATTAATTTGGTCAGAACTATAACATATTTATAAATATGTTGACTATTTCTAATAATTTTAGAGCATTGCTGTCTGAAACAATAATTTTAATTTCACTATTTTCTTTAAAATCTATTAATATAATTATTTTCCAATTAAAAAATATCCAAGAAGTTGTTTGACACAAGTTTTTATAGTTATATAATCCATCCAACGTAAATATATTTTTTTCTTATTTACCCTACAACCTTTTTTTCACCTGGTCGAGCTACTGCCAATCTACATTCCAAGTTATTTACTAGTTTAATAAAAAAAATATATTTCCTAAAAATAAATGCTACCTTTTTATACATATAATGTGCGGATGTTTATGTAAAGTAACGTTTGTGACGTACTATGGAGCTTAAAGTCCTAAACGTTTTTGACTGAAAGATTTATTTACAAAAAAAATGAATAAAGAAATTGAAAATGAATTCATGAAGGCTCCACAATAATCTCAATAGTCGAAAATAGATCAACGTATAACTTGATAAGGCTTGCTTCAATACTATCTTTAGAAGTATTGAAGAACCGAAAAATCTCCAGAAATCTCTAATTGAGAGATTGCAATGTTATTATAAAGCCAGTTCTCGAAAAAGAATGAACCAATAAAGAAACCCTTAAAGAAACAGGTCAATAAAAATCTAATGATATCAAAGCAATGATGTTAAGATGGACGGGTTTCGGAGATTGTAACAAACCACCAGACAGCCTCTTTACATCAATGAATGCCTCAACAGTAGGGAAGATACAACGTAGATAGATCTTATCAAAATTCAAATAACTGGAAAGAAACAGAAAAATAAAATGCTAGAATAGCTGTTCAAGATATATTTTAGTAGGATCGAAGATTTGATTTTCTGCTTAGCCGGGGTAATTTACATTTGAAAAACTGATTAACAAACTGTTGTAATCATCTATTTGAGTTTTAACCTTGATGAATTTCAATTCTGAAGACGTAGAATTTAAAAGAATCCAAAGATAAGTTCAGATCAACTTCCCATCGGGGGAGAGCAGATAAAAAATATTCGCTTAAGTATAAATAATTTTTTAATATAGATTAATACGAAGTGAGATATTAGAATATATATTGGCATTTAAAATTTTTCATAATAGATATGACTATTAATTTCTTTAACTACCAAGTTAGCATGTTAATATTTTTTTAATGTTAATATCTAATAGATATTAAGAAAAATTCTTAAAAGAACAACAAAAATGTAATAAGCTACTGAATTAATAAATATTACTAAAATCATAATAAGCATAAAACTAGAAAAGAGACATAGGTGGTTATTTTAGTAATATTACTTGTGGAATCACCGTGTATCCACTAAGTTTTGTTGAGAATGGAAGTTATATATTCCTTCTAATTTTTCTTTTCTTTTCTTAAATTTTAATTTTATTTCATTTTTTTAAAATTTAGTTTAACACGTTTCATATTATTATATTTTAGTTTTTTATAATTTTCCTATCTTTCAAGTCTAGTCAGCTGTTCAATATAACCTTCCTTAGCTGTTGTTGATAGAACCTTCTCTTTCCTTCAGTATGTTTTGGATGGCTTCGTGAGATGTCTAGTGCATTTTTTTCTTTCGTTTTTGTTTTTGGTTTTGCATATATGTGATCTTGGTTTTTCTGCCCTTTTGATACCTGAATTGGCGAAACGTTGGCAAGTTAACTATTCAATTGTATGCTGGAGACTCGTGGCTTTGTTGCTTGGATTTTTTCATTTATAAATGAATTCATAGATTTTAGAGTATTATTTTCATGCACAAAATGACTTGCAACTTGCTCCATCAAACTTATTGAGGGAGGCACATTTTAACGTTTTTTTTTAATTTTTGAAGGGAGTACATTTCGACAGGGTTATGAATTTCCGAAATAAAAATTATCCAACTAGTGAACAAGAGGAAAGCAAAGAACAGATCACTGAAATTATAATTGTACATGACTTTTTATTTTTAAAATTCTACTCTAGCTTGCACTTTTAAGAAGATGAGAGCAATAAAATATTTGGGAAGAATGGGATGGAGGTTCATGAGCAATCGACCGACGCAAGGAGAAGGCGGGCACCTCTGGTCGGAGAACCCATCCTGTGTGCAGCTAAAATCTAGGCAATGTCATCCCAGCTCATTTCAAAGGTTCGAACTGTGGAGAAGGATTTTTGGAGGAGATGCTTACGTGTGATAAGGATGGATAGAAATAGGAAGTCGTTAGAGACGGGGTAAAGGTTCCTGTTTCCGTTAACCAAAGAATTTGACGGCAAACACTAATGTGGTATGGCCATGTAAGCTATGGCCGAACCATGTTCTTGATTGGCAGCCGCCAATGCGACGGAGGCGTGGACAACACAGAAGAAGGTTGACATAAGAATTGGAAGAGGAGATGGCTAGCAGAAATCTTCAGGAGGTACATTTTGACCTGATCTTGACCACGAATTCTGGAGCTCAGCCCTGCCGTGAAAAGGCAATTTATGTTGGATGGCATTTAGCTATGGTCAGAAAGTTGACGGTTTTTTATTTAAATAATTATTCGGCAGGGGACGGATTGAAATACTACGAAAGCATTCAAAAGTCTTATTGCATTACAATGGCATCAGAGCCGACCAATGATTCGAGAAGATCAATCACTAGCTAACAATAGATGCGACCAAGTGAGCTCCCACCGGTAATCCAGGGATCCAGCAGGTATTGATAAGGATCGTGGGAGGTGGTGATAAGGGCGCACGTGACACCTGGCCATGGTCCACGCTCACCCATCCGTTCTCTCATCCCATCCGATCCGATCCCTCTTCTTAGCCACATGAGTGCCGCACAGAATTACCCCTCGCTGTGCCCTTTTCATACACAAATAATCACCTTCTATTCTGATTTCATGCTTAGATATTCAAGGTAATTTTTATTCTGTTTAAATATTTACAAAATTAGGATTAATAACCAGCGAAGTAAGAGATGGCTTGAAAAGATTTAACTTATTAAATTCAAGCTATTATTAATACATAACAAATTGGACATAAAAATTAAATTTTTATAAATTTCTTTGCAATGAGCAAATTTGTTGGCAGCTTCACAGCGTCCCATCACAATCCAGGAAATAGTTCAGTTCAGCAGGTCTCTTGGCCACCGCCTACGTAATCGTCGAGGTGGGCTGTACGGGTTTCTAGTGCTTTTAAGTTTTTCTGTCAGAGGATTTGTGTTGTAAGTTAGTCTTTGGTGAAAGTTACTGTACTTTTCTTTTGCAGTGTCTAAAATTGTTGGGATGTTCAAGTCTTTATGTAATCTATCGTTTGCGACATAAAATGGTGCGTCAACTATTCTTCGTAAAATTTTGGATTGGAAAGACTGGATTTTTTTAATATTAGAACTTTTAGCAGAACCCCGGCAGTTCTATGCCATAAGTCCAAATTGGTTTTAGTAAAACTTTATAGAGTGTTAGTTTGTTAGTCAAAGATAATTTTGAACGTCTGTCAAGTAACCTAGATAAAAGACTGTATCGTCTGTTTAATTACATACGTTTTTGTCTAATGTGTGTCTTCCAAGTTAGTCTTTTGTCGAGGTAAAAACCCAGAAATTTCAATGTTATTAAAATATATTTCGAGGGAAGGGGTATGATTAAGAGTGAATACTACGTACACACTTTTTTTTTTTTCATTCATTTTAATTTTCCACCTTGTGGCCCAATCAGCAATATCGTTCAAGTGGTTTTGAAGAGTGGTGGATGCTCGAATAGGATTTTTATCTGTACTGAGGATTGCGATATCGTCAGCAAAAGTAGCCAGTAGGGTGTCACTGTGTTCTGGTAGGTCAGACATATATATATTAAACAATATTGGTCCCAGGACACTACCCTGAGGTACTCCTGCTTTTATAGATTTAATGTCTGAATGTTCTGTTCCTACTTTTACTAGAAATTGTCTGTCTGTTAAATATGAGAGTAGTATTAAATAATAGGTAGGAGGAAGTAAAATTTTAAGTTTGGAAAGCAATCCTTCATGCCAAACTTTATCGAAAGCTTGACGGATGTCAAGAAAAACTCCAAGACAATAATTTTTAGATTCTAAAGAATTAGAAATATAATCTACTAATTGATGGCACTGTTAAACAGTAGAATGATGCTTTCTGAAACAGAATTGATGATTTGGAATAAATTTAAAGATATCAAGGGAATCGAGACGACGAAGACTAATTTTTTCAAATAATTTAGAAAAGCAAGGAAGAAGGCTGATTGAACGATAGGAATTTGGAGAGTCTAAAGGTTTGTTGGCTTTCAATACCATGACAACTTCAGAATATTTCCAAAGGGTTGGAAAATGGGTGATTCTCAGTATAGAATTCAAGCTAAACATTTTTTTTAATAATCGTTCGTCGGGATATATTTGTTTAGTCCTCTTACTATACAGAAACCATAACCTGGGTGATTGTTTTATTTATGAAAAAAATTAAAAGTTTTTTTCTATATTATCCCAGTAATCCAAATGACCTTAGACACAATCTCCTCCAACTTTGGGTCAAATCGAACGAGACATTTTCAAACCTTAGGCATGTCAAATACAACACAGTTGCAGATCCAAATGTGTAAGTATTTGAAAGAAATTGATAGAGTTTGATGAAGTCCACTCCAACTTTTTTGTTTTTGTTTATCAATCCCTAATATCCATCCAATGTAGGCTAACTTGAACGAACAATTTTTGAGATATGGGTGTAACCAGGAAAATACGTTTGCGCATAGTAAAGAGAATGTAGTGGATGAAATTCGATAAAATAGATACAGCCAGGTTTTTTTTTTACTTATACACAAATTTTTTGAAAATACGAGTCAAATCGAACGAGCCGTAATGAAATGTACTCATGTCTAACTAATTTGATATATATATATATATATATATATATATATATATAAGGATTTGACATGTCGGAAAATTTGTTATTTGATGTCTAAAATGTTTAAAGCGAGTAGAAGCTTTTCGATTCTGAGTAAAAAGTGTTTTTAAACCTCCCGCGTAAATATAGAGCTTCCCTACCTTCGGTAGTGAGGAAGCAAAATAATTTCTTTAATTCATTGATAATCTAAAAATAATATCAAAGAAAATGAAGAGATATGATATGGAGTGATTGATGAAACATACTAAACTCTTTCATTTACTAAGGAGGTCTCATGTCGACATGATAAGGTGAAGAGAGAGAAATGGGATGACATGAAGACGATTTTGCTAAAGTGTGAACGCTGTCTCCTTATCCAGGATTGATGGGAGATCGTAACTATCTGCCTCATTTCTGTCCTCTGGATATTAATTACCCGCATCCTAGATGGAGAGATAGTTCACGGAGTCTCCTATCTGCGCTCCTGCTCCTCGAGCTGAGGAAGGGATTGTGCTGAGTGTGGTATTACAGCCGCTATAGTGTTCTCTGGGTCTGTGGGAATCTGGATCTTGTCCTTTCTCATTCTAACAACATCATTTATTAAAATATACGACGATTAATTTGAAACCAATATTTATGACAGATGGCACTTTTAAAGCTAAATAAAACACAAAGAAAATAACGAATTGGTATTTATTTGAGTGAATTCACTGATTCTAATTATGTTCATTGCAAGAAACGTGGGTATGGTTTTGTCTCGATTATTGAGAGGGGGCAAGGAGCATCATATACAGTGACTGCTTGTACTCCTCTTACTGGACACTTCTTTATTTAATGAAAAGAGCCTTTTTTACTGCCAGATATTTTTTTTTTGGCAAAAAAAAACAAAACATTATCCTATCCTCAAAAAGTTTCATCGCAAAATGCACGAATGTATTTAGACACAATGGCACTATTGCAATCTCAACCTCATAGTGATTTAATTTGGTTATGTAATGAGTGTTATTTGGTTATATTAAAAGTGTGGCGATGTGTAACAGTCCGAGTGACCGTTCCAAAAAATAAACATTATTTGAAATAAATTTGGAATATATTTAATATATATATAAAAAAAATGAGAGCCTGCCAGTCCGATCAACCTACATGAAAAAATGGCTGCATATTTAAAAATATTAGGCAAGTAACTTGATATTTGAAACGAAAAATTAATGTGAACAATGTGGAATTTTTTATTTTTTTAACTTGTATATATGGGTTTAAACGTATAAAAATCTAAATTGAAATCGCGGGTCACCAAGGAAAACCTTTTACAGCAAAAAAAGCCAGATTTTTTGTTTTTTCACAACTCCTAAACTGTGCATTGAAACGAAAAAAAATACTCTTTAAGTACCCAAGCACAATAATTGTATCAAAAGGTGTACTTGATAACTATGGTCAATAAACGCTGATTTCTGTAAGACAAAAAAAAAAAAAAAGAGACAAAAGCTGAATGACGTCGATTGTGAAATTTTATAACTTACCTATCTGGAAATATATTGACAAAAACCATTTTGTTGGTAGAGTATTTTTTTAAATGTATATTTTCAATAATGCTGGTTGGTTATATTAGTTTGTATATTTTAATTGCTATACATTACAGGCGGATCTACGAGGAGCGGGAGGGGGCTGTCGGGGCTCCATTTTACCCCCTAAAATGGTAAAATAAAACCATGTTTTGCAGAAAACAATATTAAAATCTATCTCTTATAGTATTCTTGTTCGTGTAATTACATTTAATAGGACTTCAAGAACCACCTAAACACCATTTCATATTGGTAGTTCATTTCTTTCTTTTTTTCTAATTAATTATTGTTATTTGTACACAAAAAAAAATCTTTCGGGCTGAAGCTTTCCCCCCTCCCCCCCCCGAAAAAAAATTAAATCCTGGATTCGCTAGTGCTATACATTACCAATGATGTGATTGGTTTGTAATGAAATTATTATGGGTTAGCTTTAATCAGCAACTATTTGTTAAATAGATGCTAAACCTACAAAGGAAGCATAGCGGGTTGCCAGTAAGTTGTTGATATTGGTTTGTAAAGCTGAGGTAACCACTGTTTACCCAACAAACAACCCGTGGTTTAGACCCTTCTCTGATGATAAACATCCCATCAGGCCTGTTTGAACTAACCCACGATAAAACGTAATTAAGGGGGACTGGGTTAACAAACATGTATATCAAGGAACTGCAGCAATATAAAAATAATAAACATATCTTGACGCCTCTATAGTGATAAGTTTAACCATTCTTTGGCCAGTAACTGATGTTTGAGCTGAGGAAGGAAGGGGGAGTAGGAACGTAATGGAAGAATTAAAGTGTAGACGGCCTTTAATCAAAGTCCAGGGCTTTTAAATAATTAGTAAATTGTTAAGTGGCGTTTACTCTTCTCTTAATTAAAAGTCACAATTCCTCAAATTAAATTAATGTATTATATTTATATAATTGTATAATTAGTTGGGACAAGTACAGTTACAAGAAACGTATTCCCGATCCTATAGATACTTTTGGGAGATAGCGTGATCAGCTCTAAGCTCAAAGCGTTTAATTTAACATGGCTATTTAATTTAACAGCCCCATGATTTCATTATTGGTCAGGTAATCATGTAAGAGTTCGGTAGAGATTTTCAGGCGGGGCAAGTGTGTGCTAAGGGTACAGTGGTAATAAGATTTAATTTTAATGGTTAAGGTCGAAATTATATATATTGTAAACAAGCATACTAAATATGCATACATTTATATTTATTAATAACAGAATGAAAATTAAAATCAATCAAATATTAGGTAGGATTAGACTCTTCACCGGACATTGATCATCTTTAAAAGTCCCAGATAAAGAAATGCCA